GATAGATAGATAGATAGATACTGAGGGAAATTCAAGTGTGTGTTTGAGTGTGTTTCTTCTCTGCTGTGTTTGTTTAGACATTTCACAGCAGAGAATACACCTGTGTTGATCTGCACCAATACATTACAACATCTCCTGCTTTCAGCTAACACAAATATTTCTTTGCAGTGTATTTTCTGCCATTGAAATAAAATGTGAGTGCACAGTATAAAATACCAAACAACGAGGATGGCACATATCACACACACAAATATTGGAGTTTACACATCATTAGAGAAAAGGAAGACCAATATGGCATATCTTTGTTTTAAAACGTAACGTGTCCTATCCTTGTCTTTGCAAACTCACCTATATAAACTACCTTAAGCTCACCATACATAGTCCACACCCACTGCAAACTCCTACTGGCAGAGTTACACTACTGACCTGGCAGAGACTTGGCCCACTTGACAGCAGAGATGACCTGCCGGCCGCCCAGCCTGTTGAGGGTGGTCATGAGGCGGGTGGAGGTGTCGGGCAGAGTGCTGTCGTAGCCGGCGTAGATGGTGTCCGGCTCGATGGCCTTCAGCAGGGACAGCATTGTGGGAACGAGTTGAGGCATGCACTTGGGTACGAGGGAGCGAGCCTCAATTGGTGGAGGAGTCGTCAACTCGGGCGGGTTGCTTGGCTGGGCGCCCTTTAACCGGTTCAACTTTTTGGTTTTGCGCGCTGCGGAAGAGAAAGCGAGGATGAACGTGCACGGAAGAGTTAAGTGAAAAGGTGAAAAGGAGACAGGAGCAATTAAACCAACTCAGGGCTATACAGTTTGGCGTTATCCGTGTGATTAATATGTACCTTCCAGGTTCATGCCTGCCATCAGACACTTGCGGAAGCGGCAGGCTGGGCAGTTCTTCCTCCTGATCTTGTCTATTATGCAGTCGTTCCTCCCAGCACACAGGTAATTATGCTGCCCTGAGGCAACAGAAGAGGAAGATTAATCTGTTATTTACTTTCATTGCTGTGGCAAACACTCCAGGGAGGATAAACTAATTAGCTGTATTACAGCCCGTTACTTTGTAATAATCAGGCCTCAAACTTAAAATCATAATAATTCCAGCATTTGAGCAAACGTATGTGACACAGATAAGTGATGAATGAGCTTATCACAGGCGATGAATAAATCAGTGAGGAAATAATGATGTCTTATGATTTTGCACCTTCCACTGCTCTCTTGAAGAAGACCTTGCAGCTGCCACAGGTGAGAACGCCATAGTGGCAGCCTGAAGCCTCGTCGGAGCACACCAGGCAGATTTTATGAGTCCCACTCTTTGTCTGTGCTGAGGATGTGGCGGTGACACCTTCCTGTCTGGAGGTAGAACTGGAGGGAGATAATAGAGACAAAGCAGAGAAATGTCAGGGATATTCAGCCGCTCTTAAAAAGTTTTTGACCTCTAGCAGCGCTACAGAGCCGTTTCTCTACGAGTGGGTCCCCATTTTATTTGTTTTGTGCGTGAAGATGTGCATGTGGCTGAGGCAACGGTGCTATA